ACAGAATGTTCCTTTGTGGTGGAAGGGACCGTCGTTTTTGCGTGAAGTCGAAACCAATTGGCCTCCTAAGAAATTTCAATTAATAAACATACCAGAACGAAAGGCTTCATGCGTAAACATTAACTCCATCATTCACACACTTCATAGTAGGATATCATGCACAACAACGACTGGTAATAAATTCACTTTGTCTGAGGGACTGGTAAATTTTGACAAATATTCAAATTTCAATACATTACAAAGAAGTCTTGCTTATGTCATGAGATTTATACATAACTTAAAGAATCCAAAATCAAAAAATACAGGGCATCTAACTACCTTTGAATTAACCTCATCTTTAAATTATTTAATAAGAATGCATCAATCAGAATGTTTCGAAACTGAATTAAAACTACTAGTAAATAAAACCTGTTTACCTGTTAAGTCACGTATTTTATCATTAACACCTTTCATTGATGAATTAGGTATATTACGGGTAGGAGGAAGAATACAAAATGCTTCTGAAATATATAATAAAAAACACCCGGCAATACTTGATTCGAAACACACATTCACAAAATTATTGTTCACCCGTGAACATAAAAGGCTCCTTCACTGCGGGCCACAACTTCTTTTAACAAACATAAGGCAAACCTATTGGCCACTAGCTGGTAGACGATTGGCTCGAAGTACAGTAAACAATTGCAAATTATGCTGCATAATAAAGGCTCAATCAATCAAACCCATTATGGGAAACTTACCAACCCATCGAGTTTGTCCTAGTCTTCCATTTCAAGTGGTAGGAGTTGACTTTGCAGGACCTTTTTCAATCAAAGACAAAAAAGGACGTGGTTGCAGAATTATCAAGGCTTATCTCTGTCTATTTGTCTGTTTTTCTACCCGAGCCTTACACCTTGAAGTAGCTTCAGATCTCAGTACTGAAGGTTTTCTCATGTGCTTAAGACGATTTGTATCTCGTAGAGGTAGACCTAGCGATATATACTGTGACAACGGTAGGAATTTTGTAGGCGCAAGTAACGAACTGAACGCATTATTTCGGTCGAGCAGTGAAGCAATATCTTCTTCTGCTGCTGAGGAAGGCATAAATTTCCACTTTTCGCCGGCTTACTCTCCACATTTCGGTGGGATTTGGGAGGCGGGAGTGAAATCTGCTAAATTTCATGCAGTTCGTATCATTGGTAATAGTCATTTAACGTTTGAGGAGCTATCGACCCTGTTTTCTCAAATAGAGGCAATACTAAACTCCCGTCCACTTACCTCACTCTCTTCTGATCCGACTGACCTTTATCCCTTGACTCCTGGGCACTTCTTAATTGGCAGACCGATCACTGCGCTTCCTTCACCAGAGCTACTCCACTACAATTCATTAAGACTGGACACATACAAAAGGATCGAGCAAATGCGACAACAGTTTTGGCAAAGATGGCGCTCTGAGTATCTTTGTGAGCTTCAAGAGAGATCAAAATGGCGAATCAACCAAGGTCAACTACTTGAAGGAGATATGGTGGCAATAAAGGAGGCCAACCTGCCGCCGCTTAAATGGAGAATGGGCAGAATTGTATCCCTCTACCCTGGTCCAGATGGTGTATCACGCGTAGCAGATGTGCGCACCTCGAGAGGAGTTATACGTCGTGCCTTGAGGAACCTCTGTCTACTACCACCTCGAATTCCGACTGTCTTCGAGAGGGGGGAGGATGTTCGGGTAGATGCGCGCGCGCCGACGGCCAACTCAGACGTCATTGTCACTTCCTTGTCAGAATAAAATATTTGTACAAATTGTGCGTGCCAATATACCAAAGGCGAAATAGTAACTCATTAATGTTATAATCAATTCCATTATCTAAATAAACGAATTAAGAAAATATACATTAACAAATACAAATAAACCGTTTTTTACTTAATGCACATGTATGTATACACGGTACGTACCTATACTAAAATAATATTTACAACAACATTACATGATAACACTGTCAACCGTCTATGTAGCTTACCTACTTACCTATTGTTCGTCGACATCACCTAATGGCCTTTCCAAACGGTGTGGTTCAAATTGGCGGTCTTCCACGTGGAAATACATGCGAGCACGGAACAAGATGTCCTGACGCACACGCTCCAGAATTCCTTCTCGTACAACCCGCTGTTTAGGTCCTCAAATACTGCGCATTTCATTGGCGCTTTCGAAAGCACGACCGAAAACCTTACCTTTAACGTAACCCTATAGAAAGAAATCGATTGGTGTAAGGTCAGTCGTAAGGTCCGTACCGAACATCTCCGTTAACCGCTCACGAACTGGCCGCGATGTGTGGCAGCGCGCCGTCGTGTTGATACCAAACATTGCGCCACTAGTTTGGTCTAGTCGTCCAATGTATCTTCCACAAAGCCAGTTAACAGTGATAGGTAAGCACGTCCATCCATTCTCGGTGGCAAAAAACAAGACCTACAATTTGATCCCGCCCACACATTGTGTTTCCACCGGGTTTGGAATCCCGTTTCTTGTATCAGATACGGGTTGTGAGACGACCTATAGTGAGCGTTACGAAGGTTCCACGCGTCATTATTAGTAAAAGTTGACATTATTACTAAAATATCGTACGATAATTCCAAGATATTTTGTTATACTCACATCAGTCGATTCATCCAATAGTAAACTATATTTTTGATTCCCTATATCGTCCAGTAATATCTTTTTAAAATGAGGTGCAAGAATGGCACCCAAGTAGGGTGCATTTCGTTCTATGCAATTTCATATTACAAGCCGATTTCGAATCTTTGAAGCATTTTTTACAAACATCAGTCAGGTAGTCTATGTGGCAAATTGAACTGTGCTCTACATTATATAAAGCTAATGTACATTCAGCTCTTGCATAATCCTTGCAAGTATTTTCTGCTGAAAGAAATGACAGTTGTTAATTTTTTGACAGTTTTAATGACAATAAATATTATGTGATTGTTACCATAGCAAGTTTATCGGACAACCCACGACGAGATGTTGAATGTGTAGAAGGCATAGTAATTGCATCACTTTTTAGATCAGATTGCCCCGACTGTAAAAAAACGAATTATGGTTATTTCGTCTAAATCCTGCCATTACGGAATGAGGAAGTATTTAAAAAATAGAAATTAGTTCTTGAAATTATACGAGATGTCACTCGCGCCGTTTGGATTTTGTTTATGATGTTCATTCAAATTTACTTTCCGACGTAATAAAAGTAAATTGAGTATCAAAAATTAATAAATATAACATTGTTTGTGTTTCTTATAATATCTAACTTTCAAATTAATTTTAATTTATTTTAATCGTAAGTTTAAGTTGTTTATTATGTGACGTGTAAAGGAACGATGTTAGATTGATATATCAACATTAGTGATGGCCAACTTATTGGGTACTCGTAACTTTCATCCGAATTCAGGTTTGGAATGAACTACAAAAATCGGAGCGCAGAATTCGGCTTGTATTTGTATGTGTCATTCATTATGCATCCACATAACGAATGATAATAATATAAATATCAAAATCAATTCAGTCTAGGCTGTTACATAGTACTTGTGAAAGTCGAAAACTTTGTTAATGGTTTGCAAAACTAAGGCGGGAGATCTTGTACTGACAGGAATCGGCAAGAAACTTAGCAAGGACTACATTTTAATTTGTATAATACTATATTGAAGGGAACGTAATGACTTAACGCACACGACACCACTGCAGAGATTTTTAAGAGAGCATGTCTACTCTAGGTACTTAGTAAATAATATATTTCAATAAACTGATTTCTAGAGTAGGTTTAGTAGGTTTAGTTTAGTTATTGTAAGAACCAAAAAAGCACATACCCACCGAACGAATTAACTTAACACATGGCTCGACGACCGCCGTCGACATGCAAGATCAGTAGCAATAGTATAATAACTGTACGTGTCTTTGTGATTTTGAAATTTAAAGTTATAACTCTGCTGTTCGTTTAGAACAGACGTTTCTTGTTGATTGCTGAATGTGTATAGCGATGATTTAATTATGAATATAATATTTAATAACTGATTATAGTTTTTTAAAGTCTTAATTTCGATAGCACAAATTATTTGCACGTTACACTTTGCACAAACATCATTTTAGCCAGAAGTCATGTTATTTTGTGAGAATACCTAGTATATTTGATACATATTGGGTAAGCATACAGATAATAAACGGATCTTTTATTATAATTATCGTTTTTATGACTTTTATTGCTGATTAATAAACTCTGTTCGTTCATTTGCCCTACATAATATGAAAAATATTATTAAGATTTTATAAGTTCAACAAACGACTATAGCAATTAAACTAACTTACCTAGTTGTTATTATTTTCAGAACTTATGTTAAACATTATAATGAAAAATTCCTAGACCTACTATGACATAGTTATATATTTATAAAATCTCTGGCGGTAATATTATTGTATACCGTAGCTAAATGCCACTTTTAATTATATCACAGAATTAATTCTATCGATTACCATAAATAAAAAAAAACCTCTGTGCTCACTTCCATTATGTTAGTTTCCATTTTCCTCAATACAAATAAAAAAGAAATTTATTTAAAGATTACTTTTTAGTAATCGTTTGCATAACTCGATTTAATTAAATTTCAACTCGATATTAATCCGAGTTATCAGATCCATGCAACACAGATAATTCTATTCTCTTTGGTTTAACATCATGAATTGACGTTTAGATCAACTATTTTTGCTGCCATCTAGTGACATAATGTTTTGCCATTTCTTTATTTTTTTAAATACCTACTTCCTCATTCCTCTATGCCTACTACACATATCTTCATCTTAGTCTGTGCTACTACATTATTATTACTGCACCCTTTGACTACTACTCTAACCACGACTCTATCTAACTCTACTGTGCTCTACTGTCTGTTTTACTACAGACAATGGCTGTATGGGCGAAGCTCTCTTCGCCTTTCCTTTTAGGAAAAATACTACCAAAAAAAAAAATCTCTTTGGTATTTGGTGTAGCCGTGTTGTTGGGAAACGTAGATCGAGTGAGAAATAAAGAATACTTTATAATAGTAAGAAACTACCCACTGTTTGTGAATAAAGACTGTTGGTTGTCAACAAAGGTCTTTGAACTATACGCAAAATCTAGTTCCTATTAGAAAAGATGTCAGATAATAAATCTGAAAACGATATAAAAGAAAAGATCTTAAATTTGGCTAAAAAGAATCCTAAAGGCATCACTGATAAAGACATCACTGTTGCAATACCAGAACTAAAAGCATCAGACCTCGTTATTGTCTTAAACAAACTGTTACAACAAGGTTGCTTTGATCTATACAATCAAGGGGGTTCACTTTCATACAGGTAATAGATTACATATTAAAATTATGATTCGGTTGTGGTGCCATCTAAAAAATGTCACTTTTATATCTAATTATTTATAGATTGAAAACGCAAGTAAATAAACAAGCAGTAAAAGGAGCTGACAATGAAGAAAAAGTAGTTTTTAATTTAATTGAAGAAGCAGATAATAAAGGTATATGGATTCGGGATATAAGGGTACGATCAAATTTAGCAAATACTCAATTAACAAAAGTGTTGAAGAGTCTTGAAAGCAAGAAATTAATAAAAGCTGTCAAATGTGTAAATGTAAGTATCTTTACCTAACATGCTTCACATTTTTGGGTTATAGTTTAGGGTTATTGCATTGCACATCAATATAATAGTTGAGAAGATTTAGCTTGTATCATCCTTCATATGGACCAATGTTTTTTATTTTGTTTTCAGGCATCTAAAAAGAAAGTTTATATGTTATACAATTTGGAACCTGACCGATCAATATCTGGTGGAGCATGGTATCAAGATCAAGATTTTGAATCTGAATTTGTAGATATTTTGAACCGACAATGTCATAGATTTTTGCAGCAAAGAGCTGATAAAATAAAAAATAATCCACGTGGGCCTATAATTGGGAGAACTCAATCATATGCAACTGCTGCTGAAGTGCAAAAGTATATTACAGATCTAGGAATAAGTAATGTATGTATTGATTATGAAAGTTAATTTTAATTTATTTTCAAATCTTTTTATTTCACTCTATGTCAGTCTGTCATTGGTTAATGCGTTACTTCTTGAAGTGGTGCTGCCAAGACTCAATATCATCGAGGTTGAAAAGGCACAACATGTCGTACTTAAAGATGCAGCCTACTTACCATATCTCTCTCCTACAACTGAACTATATAAAACTTGGTAAATTTTCATGGTTAGAAAATCATTCAACAGAGCACAAAATAAAAAAAAATTAGGAATTGACATTTGATCCTATCTATCCAAAAAATGACAAAAGAAGAAAAAAACAGTCTGTAGTGTACTCCTTTGTAGGACAAGTACATGTCAAAACCATCACTACTACCTATATATACAACAAAATTAACTCATTTCTTTTAACTTACTCATTACACTAGATTATGAAGAAACAGTAAACATGCCCACATATTACAAATAATTGACTTTTATAGTTACACAATAATATTTATTCATCAAAACAGTTTCAATAAGTCTATTTTATGAATTTTTATTTATTTTATTTTAGAGTAAATGTGTATATTCACTAATTACTAAATTCATAAGTCTAAAAGACAACATATTGTTTTATTTATTAACCATAAACTTAATTATTTTTTTTTGGTTGCACATAATCAGGTTTTTTGTTTTGTATAAAAAAAAAATATTTATTTCGCTCTTTTTAATTAGTTCTCATTGACTTCCTTATCATAACTTTTTTGGCAATTTTCTCATTTCATTGTGGGAGTTTATATATCTTTATTCTTAAAAGCTTAATAATTTGCAAACAGCTCACTATATCTTAAAACGGTCTTTACATACGTCTATTTATTTTATGAGACCTATCCAACAATATCCCACACTGCAGTGTAGGAAATCGAAAAAATAAAAAATCATCCCCACTTTTACATACAGGGGTACCCTAAAAAAAGAATTTCAATTACTGTTATCTGTTTAGTGACACTCGCAAGGTTAAGACAAATCGATTGATGTATAAATCATCTAAATTGGCCAAGCCGTACATAGACTTGGAAACACATTACCCCCCTTTGCGTTGCGCAGTCGGGTAAAAAATGTATAGGCATACAGAAGCATTGAGTTGATAATTTTATAGTTTCTTTAAGAATTAATTTGTAAATATTTTGATTTACAGGTGAAGCTGGAAGTTGAAGATGTAATCACTATATTAAATACTTTAGTGTATGATGGTAAAGCTGAAAGCAGTGTGTATCCTGATGGCAGCAAAGTATATCGTGCTATTGAATCCCTTATACCTGCACCAGGAATAGTTCAAGTTCCATGTGGTATTTGCCCACTAGTACTTAAGTGTTGTTCCACTGGACTTGTTACGCCACAAAGCTGTACATATATGACTGAATGGCTAGAATAACTAATTTACTCCTATTAAATCATTTTGCACAATGCTCTCTTTTTATATCATGGGTGGACATCTCAACAAAATTGTATTTTCCATTTATGTGATAAATTGAAATCAATAAAACTTAGTGTACATTTTGTAATAACTGATTTCACTGTTTAACAATTATAACAAAACAAAAACATAAAAGAGCAGAATATACCTACTCACTACAAGTTATAAAAATGCATCTTATATACATTTAATTCAAAACCTTCTGAGACCATCTAAATTGGATAACACTGTGGTTGGTTTAGATGAGACAAACATTTTCATGAAGCAAATATGTGGAACTATTAAAGCAGTTTTGAATCATAACAACATTTGTGTCATATAAAATTATTTTTGACATATATGTATATTATATTTCTGAAGCATAGATTAGCTTTATAATACATAATTAGGGAAATAAACTTTCTACTATTTAAAACAAACTCCTAAAGTTATACTCTATATTTTGTAAGGTTTCTGAGAGTAATGCAGGTTCACGTTTTTTATGTATATATGATTTGTCTTGCACTGACTGGTTATTCTCACTAATTTCATCAGAAAATAGAGAACTGAAGACATCCATTTGAATATAATTTAGAGATTGCAGTATTATTCCCTTGTTGGGGTAAGGTGTATTTGATAAAGTATTTCTATCACAGTATCTTATATTATTTATGTTTTCCAATTTAGGACCTGCAGATGATTGCGGAGACTGTGTAGAAGGTTCCTTTTTAGAAGTTGGAGTTGCAGGAGGCTTCTTGTCACCTGAAAATCAATAAAACAAAGGATTAGATGTTCTTTGTACTTAAAATATAGTATGATTTATACTTTTCAGCATAACTCACTTATAGAATGAACAAGTCTTTCCATTTCCCGTAATTGAGTTTGCTGTTGTTGCACAGTAAAATACAAGTCTCTAATTGTACTAGTAATATGTTCCATCTCTTCAGCTTTCTTTGCTTCTTTTACAGCTTCTTTTTTACTTTGCCTAAAAAATTGAATACTTAAATAATATGCACAACTGTACCCAGTCTCATTAAGTAATAGATTTATGTAGTTACCTGTTATACTCAATAATGAGTAAACCGGCACCAATAACGAATATAACAGTTTCACCAAGAAGATTAGCTCCAAGTTCAATTGCCATTTCCTGACTAAGAACTGGAATATTTACTGGTTTTCCTAAATTTAAGATCCACATTTTCGCTTTTACTTCGCACCAATTATAAACTAAAATTAATAATGATGATTAGAACCGTTATAAATCTATTATCATTTTAACTATTTATTAACATACTGCAATAAAAGTGTACTTACACTGAGCCGGAGGCATACAAACGTAGGTCCTGAAGAAAGGACTATTTTTGGCTCGTTCTTTACATATATTTGCTATTGGCTTACTTATTTGTTTTATTAGTAAAACGGACAATTTAGCAATTGGAAATGCTCCAACAACCATTTTTGTCTGATCACAAATTTATTCCACCTTCTATCAAGTATTTTTAAAAGGGAAAATTTGTAAGCTCAAGTTTATGCAAATACAAGTGTTTAATTTATGATATAATATTATATTGAAGACTACTACCTACTTCGCTAATAAATAATAAAAGTAGTGATGAGCGAACGTGAATGCATGACACCTTACCTTAGAGTAGTATATTCTCTATGCTTAGAATATTAAAAAGTAGAGTTGTCCAAATCGACAAAAATACAATAACATGCTGAAGACTAAATGTTATGAAAAAATTAACGCGTTTACTAACGCGCTAATTACATAATAAAAAGAGAGCGCGACAAACACAAATTAAATCTCGTAGCATGTTATATATTACATGTCGAGTAAATAATAATTTATTCAAATATACAGGATGTTTGGAAATACATGTATAATCCCGAAAAATGGCCATACAACCTAGCACAAAGAACACAATTAATATGTCAAAAAACAATTCCTCGTAAGTTGAGATTTTCATACAAATATTTGAACAATTTGTTTTCAAGTAATATGCTACAACCCTGAAAGCTTATACGTGGCGTCCCGGCGTACTCGCTCTCTCTTTCTCTCTCTCTCATTACCTCTCACTTTGTCTCGTTTCCTAGAATACACTTTGATGTCACCGACGCGCGCACTCGACTGCGTATGAGTTTACTTGTAATTAAAACAATTTAAGATTAAACAGGTACATACCTAGAGGCAGCGTTCTAATCACTCTTTCAGCTCTCACTTTTCAACATTACCTACACTTCACCTCCACTTTATCAGTCCAAAGTCTCGATATGCCGGCCACCGCATAAAACACACATCTCCATTCGACTCCACACAGACCGTGTTACTGTCGACGTAAAATCATATCCTCTGTCTCGATGGAATACGGCCGGCCTACCTGTGGCACACTTTGGAATGAACCAGTTGTATGTAACCGATTCACATGTGCCGCGAAGCACCTGTAAGAAGGAAGACGTCGAGGGTTTTCAGATCTTCCTGACCCGTGGCGCTCGTCATAAAGTCGCCGAACCGCAGCAAGATTACCGTCAATTGTATCATAAATATTAGGCATTTGAGAACGAACTCATTGCACTGACCGCACACAAACACAACACACAGGTAAACAGAACGAGTATGCAAAACAAACCAAAAGTCCCGAAAGAACGAAAACGTAAGTTGACCTTCTAAATTCTGAAAATTCACAAGTAGGCCGATGAAAGTCTCGGACGCGACTGAAGCGATGACCAACACTACATAGGTAATTATTGCAACTCGAACACCAATGTACCTAAATCAAAAGTGCACCAACTTAGGGTTCCGCGTCATCAAATTCTGTGTTAGGTAACCTACCTAACAAAAAATCGTTATTTTTTTATTCAATCAAACAATGAAATTTTAAAGTAACTTATTATAATAAATATTTATTTATTGACGAAATTCATAATTAGGCTGTTTATTTATTATTACAATTTTATTTACGCTTTTCACGGTTACAAAAGAAAAAAAGGTTATAATATTATAAGTGGTTACCTAATTTAAGACCAAGTCATTAATAAAATTATAAGTCATAAAAAAATTGATTAAATTAGAAAAGAAAAGAAATATTATTTATTATTAGACCTTTCCATTACAACTAACCTTTACTTAATTATCATTTAAACTAAGAATAAGAGAGATATTTAGATTATTAATATCACTGTATAAGTCCGTATTTTATTGTTTCGTGAAAATAACACTGCTTTATGAAAAAAATAACAAAACTTTAAACCAATTAATCTACAGAACCTTACTGACACATCAGAAACCCGAGTTTCTCATTACACATCGTCGTCGATTTTGTCTCTGTCGCTCCTTCTTGCATAGACTAATGTGAGCAATAGTGCAGATATCTAACTTCAATCAAAGTATTTACAATTTCTTTTTTATTTTGACTGTATTATTAGAGAAGTTTTCTTAATAATAGTTTTTGAAACACCGTTAATCACAAGATTGGTGTTCTTTTATGGTTAAAGGTAACTTACTACTAACGTTTCTTTGTTTTTGAAATAAAAAAAAATACTCTTGGATGCTTAATTATTCTAGGCATTTATCTTTAGATTTATTTAACTTCTGTTATTTTTTAAACTAGTTCGGCACGTGGAGTCGATGACCAAATACAACACAACAGCTGTTTTTAGGGCTGTCAGCGTACAATTTTGCTTCGAAGAAAAAAGCTAAATATCTAGGTCATGTGCTGGGTTTCAGACTTAGTGATCATTTTTCTGGATTCTATTCATCATACCGTATGTGCCATATTCGGGATTATACAGGTATTACCAAACACGCTGTATGTGAAAGAAAAGTAAATGAATTATGTACAATTGTTATCTACACGTAATACAATTTTACGTCCTTATCATGCTTATCATTACTCGTCATTTCAAAATTACACAAATTTATATTTAATTAAATGTTTTATTTTTTCTTATATATTTATTTATTTTACTTACATAGTCGCCCTTTAATCTAACTAAAAAATTAAAAATATCAACTAATTAAACTATGTTAAATATAACAGCAATATTTTTACAGAACGGAATGAAAATGGCCTCAACAATAACACACGATCATATTCACATGCTACGAGAATAAATCATTAACACGTCCATTACCTATCGCAACTTCAAGTCTTCGTTCGCGATGTTATTAAACGTATTGCGAGCGGAAATCGTTCACGCGTTTGTTATTGTTTGCGCCCACGAGAATACTGCTCGCTTCTGCCACGGACACTAATGTTCGTTGCGAGTCAACACGCTATATTTTTAACGCCTTAACGTGTACATACTTAACAGCGTTATGCACTAAGTACGCGTATAACATGAAAAAGTATTAAAAAAAGGAAGCACTAAAAGCACCTGATTAGATGTCATCTTTAGCAAAAGTTGATTTTTGCAGAAAACGAATGCTCCGAAGATAGTCATTTCTGTTCCTTTTAACTATCATATTAAAAAACTGATATTTACAAAGTTCGAAACTTAGATATCAATACAAATAAGCAAAAAGTAAAAATAGAATATGAGTTGTTTATTGAGCTTTGAAAATTAATTTACTTTTATGTATAAAAGAAAACTACGCTTCGGGCTATGGTACTATTTTGATTTCTCCATGATAAGCTTTCCGGTTTTCTTTCATGTATATAAGTAAATTTATTTTCAAAACTCAATAAACAACTCATAATATATTTGTACTTTTTCGTGTATGAAAGAAAGAAACACACGACCTCCGTTGTGACTATCTCTCTTGGCTTAGATTAGTTTTTGTACAAATAGCAATTAAAAGTAAAGCATAAGTTATAATAGTAATACGGTTCATTTTTGTATTTATAATTTTTCAAAGTTATATGACGTCTTATAAGTACGAAGTCCATGAGTTATATCAAGAAAATAAAAAAATAAGGTGCATAGATTAATAAATAAAAAAAGCGAAGTGAGATCTAGCATAGATTAATATTGTATATACATCTAGTGGCAAGAGTATTAACTAAATGCGCCGAGTTGACTCGATAACTCGAGACTAGAGTAATATTTTTCACTTGAGAATAAATTTTAAAAATTCATTTGAGTGGCTCGAGTGCACCAGGACTTGAGTCGCATCACTAGTAGACAGACAGAGTAAGTAACACAGACTTAGTAGGTATCAGACGACCAACTTCCTAACAAAAAATTTCTTCGTAGAACGTGATTAGGAGCCAGTGATACATAACAGATTCATTCGTTTTAAATATTAAGATCTACTATCGGCAAAGGCATTTGGCTATACAGCCCTTTTTTAGGTAGGTACCTAGCCGTCTTCCTATTTTCCATATTATTTCTACTTTAATTTTAATACAACAATAATAATAAAGCAGACTGATAAGTCTAGCTTATTATTATTGTTGTATTAAAACAAAAAAGGCAAAACGAACACGTAAATGAAACATACATTTGTCCAATATTATTTATTAAATCATTTATTTTTAACTTATTATATTTTTCACAGCTTTCTTCTGCATTCTCGGCAATTCCTAGTTACGTTTTTTAGTGGCACAACCTTATGAAACTTTTCAAGATAATCACAATTTTTTTTAAAGAGGGCACTGATTTTTGCATACCTTTTTCGAAACAAAAATTTAAGAACTTCTTAAAACATAGATAACAATATAATAATAAGAACCTTCACTGCTTTCATTAAATCTATTAGTTTTCTTTCATATAAATATAATTCTCTGTACCAACCTGTGATTTCATTTTAAAATTTGATCACACATAGTGTCTTCTTTTAGATTTTTGAGTGCTGATTGGAAAGCTGAGCCTTGGTCATATATTATTGCGATGAGATTAAGGTCCCATTCAACAACTTTTTCTACTACTGACTTTAAAATATTCTTGATGTTTACAGTAGATGTAGCTCCTTGACAGAAATAGTAACATAAAGGCTGTTGCCACTTGTAAACAGCACCAACATAAATACAAGAGTATGATCTGCAAAATCCACTTTCTTTTCTTGGTGTTCTACAAATCCATTAATGTTATCTTTAATCCTTATTACTTTTATTATACGAAGTGCTGTTTCTAATGACATCTCATCAAATATAATGGAGCATATTTTTTTGGAGTTTCATTTGTCCACCTGAAAAAGTAAATTCAAATAGATAGGTACATATTATTATTTGGTAGTAATACAAAAAGTTATAAAAGTAGTATGAAAAACCTTATATGGAATATATTCACCTCTTACATGAAGCCTGGTTCTATGATCAATTTTCCAATAATAGTATTCAGTGTGGTTTTGGATGATAAAATAAAAATTTTGCTTAAAAATCAATAACATTTTGGACTCTGCTTTGATATTGATAAAGCAATTATCTTTTCTTTGATAGTGAATCACCTCTCATGTTTATTTTTAGAGCACATGCTCACTTGCATTTCAAAAACATTTTTTGCAACTGTGTTCATTTTTTGTGTGAACTTTTCAAATGATAACTTTTTACAAAACTTAAAGGTATTTGTACGAGCCAACTCGTACAGTTTTGTCTAGTAATCATTTTACGCTACATTCATTAATTTAGGTCATTTTGTAGTTAGTTCGTCATCGGTAATCAATCACGCCGCGC